GGGCTCTGGTTAAATGATTTAACGCAAACATCTGGTTATAACATGGTGACAATACAACAGCACTGAGGGGTGTAGTGCTAGAGGTTATAACATGGTGACAATACAACAGCACTGAGGGGTGTAGTGCTAGAGGTTATAACATGGTGACAATACAACATCACTGAGGGGTGTAGTGCTAGACCCAAATACACATCAAAGCAGGGAACATACTCCAGGGTGGGTAACTGCCTGAGGAACAGTTGCTCTATGGGGTAGGTGAAGTAGAGTGGATATTTGGAGCAGGTAATTACTGCACACATAATATGTAATAGACACTTCTTGTTCGACCCACCCACCCAGCCCTACCACACTATATTGTACCCACATATCTCAGCCAGCTACCATATACCTATCAGTGATTGGACCTGCCCGTCACAGACTTACCCACAAGTATAAAAACACCACCAACATCATCTAAATAATAAAACAAATAACTTCCTGATAACACCAGACCCTACTGCACAATAAAATAAATAAAAGTTTCACTTCTGAAATTGTAGGGGTAAAGTACAACTTTTACATCACACAGTTGTAAAGTATTTATACAATTTGAAGTGTATTTTGAAAGACAAAAACTCAATAGAAATATCTTTAAATCCATTTTTTTTTGTGTTCAAAGTTTTACAGTTGTGCTGAGATGTGTTTAACCATACATATATTGTAACTGTTTTATGTTTGTAATCAAGAGCAGGTGTAAGGAGTTTGACAATTATGTTTCAAAATTATCCTGATAATGAAATAAAGTACATTAATTAATGTGACAAGTATGCCCGCAAAACAAAAAAAAAAATTAATAGAATTATCATCAGAAATTAAAATAAACATGATTTAATGTGATATGTTTTATTATTTTTTTTATCATTTTCAAGTCTGAATGAGCTATTCTGTTGATGAATGAAAACAACCAAAGTGTTCTTTAAAATGTGTACATGAAAACATTACACAAATGCTCCTTGTGACAAACTGTCTGGCATATACAATAATGATTACATATCTTACCATGTAAGGAACTATACACATTGGTCCCCTAATTACATGGAATAAAATGTTCTGTAGTGTACTATTATTTTAAACAATATTTGATGACATACAGCAGCTCAATACAATATTTCATTATTTGTCCAGTTTTACACTAAAATTAGAGTATTACACTAAAATGTTAAAAGCAAAAAGAAAAAGAGTATTTTATTTTGTTTAAATTTACCTGAAAGATGAGAGTATTCAAAACAAGATTTGTTCTGCCAAGCTGAATATTGCATCAAATACAATTTAATGATGGGATTTGCTAAACATACTGCACTGCAATTATCAACTTTGTTTACAAAATATCTTTAAGTATGAGAATTATTTACATCGCTTGTATCACTGTGATTTTCTATTTAATAAATGTATTCAAAGTGATAAGGTGAATTCTATTACTAAAATTTTATTTAGAAGGTAACTATAATTTGTTGTTTTAAAAGAGCCAATCATAATGCCTTATTATCTCCCTTGTGAGATTATTACAATTTCTTTTACATGCTAAATTTGAAAAATTAATTCCCTTGCATCTTTAATAAGAAGAGCAACAATAAAGAAAATACTAGATTAAAAATTCTTTATAGCTGATCACACAGGAAATTTAAATTAAAAGGATGAACAGAATTTCTAATAAATAATAACATTCAATTATTATTTTTTTATCCAGCGAAACTTCAGTTAGGAACTACATTTCCCCCAATATGAGTTCTTTAGCTACTATCAATTTAAACTAGTTATAAGTTAGCATGAACTCTATTCATGGTGCAATCTGTCCAGCACAAAAAGGTACCTGACATAAATTGGGGGAATTAAAAGTGTGTGTAACACAACACATCAACTCTACAACTCTCAAGTTAGAAAGGTAATTTACTCTTCACTAGCTTTAAATTGTTCAAAGATACAACACAACCTAGATGAGTGATTCCAGAAACAACACTAAGACAACAATCTAATAGCTGTAAGTAAAATTAACACTTACGATGAGTTGTAAAACAAAAATAAACACAATCTACCAACATAGAACTACTACACAAAGTCACATGTAAAAAAAGCAAATTTTGATTCACAATATCTTTTGTTTTCTTCCTTCCATAATACTGATTGTTTTTAAAAGAAAGGCAAGGTCAAGGTGAAAGAGTCAAACAAAAACAGAGATGGGAAAAAGACAAAGACTGCGCACTAGCTGTTGTATGTTTTACAGCTCCATACAATAGAAAACAAGATCTTTCATGTGGCATTGAAAATTAGAACTTTCTTAATAGTCCTATAGAAAACTAGAACTTTTATCTGTTTCTCAGCTAACTAGATCTAGTATCTTATTAGTTTTTTTATAGAAAACTAGAATTTTCTAATTAGGTTCATAGCAAACTAGTATGTTTTTAAAAGTTACATATAAAATTATCTTTCTTTTCTGTCCCATATAAAACAAGATCTTTCTTATCCATTTAAATGATGGCAATTTTCAACAGAGAATGGAAGCTCTTACAAGGGTTGAGGGTCATGTTGAGGGTACATGTATGTACTGGTCAATGTATTCCAAGTATAACATTACAGTAATCATGCATTTGTTTTTACTTTAACACAACAGTGTTGGTTTTTGTTACCAGTATACAACTATCAAACAAGATTATTTCATTAATCAACTAATATCTATTTTAAGAAAAAGTGAAAAAAAATCTTTTAAAAATCAACTTTTGTCGTATTTTCAAGTGTAAAACAGGTATTAAAATTTTTACGTATAAAATAAAACCCACAATCAGATTATGATATCAAGCTCACTATTTAAAAGGTGTATGCAACCAACTAACTGACACTAAAACAACCTGAAACAGGTAAACAACATGAGTATTTTTAGATTTTGAAAAATTACTTTTAAAACTTACAGAAGCATTTTAAAACATGTCTACAAAACTGCAGTAGTTAATGTATATGTCTGCATTACAATTTACAAAAATATATCCCATTTCATGAGAGAAAATGCAAAAGGCTTTCTCTGTTAGTAAGAGAAAAATGTTCCAAATGATGTAAAATATTTTTCAGAAAACTTATGGGAAAAGACAATGGATTGATTCAGATGCATTTTTTGATATGTGCAATGTACAAGTTTGATTTTCAGATCAATTTCTAGGCAAATGTAACAGTTTGAGTTGTATTAAATCCCTCATCTAAACTTTGTTGTAACAATTCTTATAACAAAGTAACATCATTTTTGAGTTATTGATTTGTTTTAGTTATGTTGTAACAATTCTTGTAACAAAATAACATTGTTTTTTAGTTATTGATTTGTGTTAGTTATTCAAATACCAATGTGTTGAAGTTAAATCAATAATTAAATATTTTAAACAACTTATTCATTGACTGATAGAAATAGGATTCAATTAAAATTTGCGAAAAAGTACTACTACTAGGTTGGTATTTTTCTTAAGTGATAAATATTGCTTGTTATACATTAACAACAGCTCTTTATCATTATGGCTATCATAGTAATGAGGCTAGTTTTCACAGGTAAACAGTTTTCACAGGTAAACAGTTTTCACAGGTAAATAGGCACACCATAATGCAATCACTAAATAGCATACTGTGACACAACATTACCAACTAGCATGCAGTCTTAATGATAGACATACAGCATCACCACCTGATTTAGCAATACATATACCGCTTGATATAGCAATACAGCATCACCACCTGATATAGAAATACAGCATCACGACCTGATATAGCAATACAGCATCACCACCTGATATAGCAATACAGCATCACCCCTGATACCGCTTGATATAGCAATACATATACCGCTTGATATAGCAATACAACATCACCAGCTGATATAGCAATACAGCATCAACAGCTGATATAGCAATACAGCAACACCAGCTGATATAGCAATACAGCATCACCATCTGATATAGCAATACAGCATCACCAACTAGCATATTGCAATACATCACCAACTGCATAAGTTACCAACAGCCACACTAAAACACATCATCACCATCATCAGACATCAATGATACACCACCAGCCACACATAAAAACAAAAATATTACCAAAGCAATACAGCTTTACAAAGCTGAATCGAGAGTATTTATATCCAAACAAAAAAAAAACATGCATGGATGACCATTTGTGCTATATTTCATGCCACCAACAAGGGAACTAACTCGATTGGGTTCTGAGAATTAAACTATAAGGCTCGATCAAGATATGCCTAAAAAAACAATTATTTACATACTAATTCACAAATCAATACCCTCTTCTTTTGCTTTCCCATTTCTAGATTTCTTTTATATAAGACAAAATAAGTCTTATGCAAATAACACAGCTTATCAAATCAAATACCAGAAAAATCAGCTTCTTGCAGGGAGATAACTCACAACTTAAGTTCTAACAAGAGAGATAACTCACCACCTGATCTTGAATTAAATTAATAATCACATTTTAACAAAATATCACTTGTTTTGATGTACAATGTTTAAAAAAAAATGTTCACATACCAATCATAGGCCAGTGAAAAGCATAGCACAAGTTAAATGCACATTACAGATATGCTTCAATGAACATCTCAAATTAGCTGAGTCTTGCCTTACGTCAACAAATTCAGAGCTAAAAAATCTTGTGTTACATCAACAAATTCGAGAATCTTGCGCTACATCAACAAATTCAAGAATCTTGCGCTACATCAACAAATTCAAGAATCTTGCCTTAGTCAACAAATTCAAGAATCTTGCGTTACATCAACAAATTCAAGAATCTTGCGCTACATCAACAAATTCAAGAATCTTGCCTTACGTCAACAAATTCAAGAATCTTGCGTTACATCAACAAATTCAAGAATCTTGCCATTCGGCAAAAATTCATAGCTCATCTTGCCTTACTGCAACAAAGTTATATCAACAAGCCTTGCCTATTGTTAAAGAAGATGGACATACAACGCCAACTGCGATCACAAAATAGATTCTTTCAGTGGAATGTTTGGGTTAACTGAGTCAGAGACTCTGATGTCGGTCAGGTTCCCAGCGTCGACTGTGGCGACGGCGCCGTTGTCTGACGGGGACCTGTTCTGGTGGGGCTGGCCGTGGGGCTTGTTGGCGCCCTGTCGTGAGGGTGAGGCTGGTGATTTGATCTTGAGGATGGATGGTCGGGGAGTTAATTTCCCTGCCTCGTCCAGCGTCCCGTTTTTGTGGTCAGTTTTGTCCACTGAGATGTGGGAGCTGGTGTGGGTATTGACCTGTGGCGGATAATAAAATTATATTGAATATACTCAACTTATACAGAACAATGATAATGAAATTACATCCTATATACTCAACTTATACAAAACAATGATAATGAAATTACATCCTATATACTCAACTTATACAGAACAATGATAATAAAATTACATCCTAAATACTCAACTTATACAGAACAAACATTATAAGAAGAAAACCTGTGGCGGATAATAAAATTACATCCTACATACTCAACTTAAACAGAACAATGATTATAAGAATGTTATACATTGACTCTATTTTTACAAGTTTAAAATTATGATAGAACTGTTATACTGTTATATGACTTAAAAACACTTGTGCAATTTTTTCTTTCTATCCACAGCTAAAAAAATTTAATTGGTTCTTATAAGTATGCTGGTTAAACCATACAATATAGCTTTGTATTGATTTATTTATATTTTGAGTAATACTGTTAAGGTGAAGGTAAAGTTATTAGTAAAACACAGACTCTTTGAGTTCTGGCTGTGTTTTTTTTTTAATTTTTACATGACAAGTAGCTAAGTTTTAGTACAAAAACTGTATTGGTTGTAACTGTCTGTAATTTAAAGATTCAATGATCTTCATATTCTAGGCAGCTTTAATAGGTATCTAGCATGTACAAGGAAGTAAAGCACAACTAATTAAAAGTCGTGATCACTGATTGCAAACTTTGAAAGGTCTACTTTATATTGAGAATTAGAACATAAAAATTGCTTTGGCAATGACTTGCTGTCTACTTATAAAATGTCTACTGGACCTCCTGGATCTCCAAGCTCCGGTACACTCAAGAAAAAGTAAAGTGGTGAACATTGCTGAACACATAATATAATGAGGTCAGAGAAAAGGGTGAACTCTACTTCATCTACCCATATGGCTTTAAAGGGGTTTTCTACTAACTTAAATCATCACTGTAGTAAACTTAAATAATTATTCTACAAGATGTTAAAACAAACTAGCTTACTGTAATAACCAACTAAAAATGTTTTAGTAAGTCAACTATAAAATTATTTATAAGAAAGGCAGGCAAAAACATTACCAAATTAAACTTGGACAAACACAAATTTTTCAAAACAAACATTTGTTTTTACCATTGTGGCAGCATTTTCAGCTATGGTTCTTTTCCTTATGAAGTACCAAACCCCCACAAAGAAACACATTGATATCACTTTCAGGCCAGCCGCTATTCCTGAAAATTTAAAACACTTTAAATCATAAGGCAACTTTTGAAATGGTTGTAATCTCACTACAACAACATAAGCAAATGCTGGAGAGAGGGGCTATAAAGTAGAGATCACTAAAATAGTTATTTCAACACAATGATGATTATACAGCGCTATGAAAGACACATGAGCATAGATAACCTACTGCCTCACTAAGTCTTTACCCATAAATGTGAGGAAGGTGAGGTTAAATCTTAAGGTAATTCTCTCTATAACATTTCTATTTGCAGTCTATCAAACTGTAACAGGGACTTAGATAAGGTGACCTCTGACCCTGCATCATATTTATGTTTGATACAACTGTTTTGTCATTACAACTATCTCTATACATTTGTAAAGTCTGCACATTAAAATAATATTTTTACAAGGTTATTCTATTTGTTTAACAATTATCACTATAAATTTGTAAAGTCTGGACATTAAAATAATATTAAGTTTACAACATTATTCTATCATTACAACATCATTATTCTATAATAATAATTACAACATTATTCTATAATTACAACAACCATCTCTATACATTTGTAAAGTCTGGACATTAAAATAATATTAAGCTTATAACATTATTCTCTTCATTTAACAATAATCTCTATACATTTGAAATCACAGTTCACAACATAAAGTAACCCCTACACAGTGACAGGTAGCCAGTAGCTTCTACTCACCAACATAATTATAACGGAACCTGACGATGTCATACAGTAGACAGGAACCGTTCCGCTCACACTTCACGCTCCACAGAAGACAGGATGTATCAATGGCATTGCCGAAGAAAATTGGACTAGGAATGTAAGCTGAAGGAGAGAAAATAAAAATCTGGATGTAGGCAAGGAGCTGATACAGTTCATACATATACAAACTAAATCAAATATTTTATGAAAATATTTTAATAAAGCTTGCACCTGGCCAATCCAAGTTTAGAAGACACTGTTTAATTACTATGTTCAATGTTATACATTGGCACTGTTTTTACAAGTTTTAATCCATGACGAAACTGATGAAGTTAAACTGTTATATGACTATAAAGCGCCTGTAGTTTTTTCTTTTTTTATATCCACAGCCAAAATTATTGTGTGTGAAGTTATCTGTTAAAAAGAAAAAAAATCTTACCAAACAACCTCATCATCACAAACTGCAATCCGAGAGCAAATGATCTTTCCATTGTCGCCACAGATCTGTTAAATAATGAATTTTTTTTGTTTAGTCAAATTAATCTTATATACATAAAGATATTAAATAAACAATCCTATCATTTACTCCAAAATTAAAGTTAATTACCAGGTTTGAAGGTTTGATGTTGGTGATATCTACTTAAAAAATAAAGGTATGGTCATTTGATAAGAATCAAACCAAGTGGCCAAAGCATCACCATCAGAAGAGGCCAGTAACATTAAAATGTTGTTCACTTCATAAACTCAGTGCTATATGAGTGCCAGTTACACAGAATGTCATCCCCACATAAACTCACCTCAACGTCACCATGAGAAGTGGCATTTGAGTACCAGCCACGCAGAACGTCATCCCCACCAGCAGTATGAGAAAGGGCAACAACCTCTCACACGTGTTCTTGCAGGCGCCGCTGGTTGCCATGGGTGATATGATGACCTCGTGGTTGGAGTGGTCAGCTGGTCCTAAGCTTATACATGAACAGCCACTGTAGTTCTGACAGATGAAAATAATTGTCTATAAATAAACAGTTGGCTTAATCATGTGCAAAATATAAAAACAAAATGTGTGGGTTATTAATAAATTAATTTAGTAACCCTTCTTATTCATAGTCTATCTGTAGCCTATCACACTGTATAAAATGAACGTATGTGCTATAGCGCTAACAAAAGTTAAGTAGTTTAACATAGAAAAAATGTGACTAATTGTGTAACACTAATTTTAATTTATTTATAATTGGCTATGATTTGCTTACCAAGACAATTGCAAGAATAACTGTACTGAATAGCTAAATATTTATTTAAATTAGAATTAAAATTTAACAAACAAAAATTTACTTTTTTCTATTACTAAAATTACTGTTTCAAAATGTATTAGAAAATAGTGGTCAGTTTTATACACAGGTCATTTAGTAGCGGTCAGTGTTGGACACATGTAATGTAATAGCAGCCTCTCGTGTGTGTTCTTGCAGGCACCATTAAGTGCCTTTGAGAGACACAGGTCATAGTGGTCAGTGTTGGACGGAGATAGTTCAACAGAGGTTATTTAATGGTGATTAGCATTACCCACAGGTCATTTCATGGTGTTTAGCATTACCCACAGGTCATTTCATAGTGGCCAGTGTTGGACAGAGGTATTTTAATAGTGGTCAGTGTTGGACAGAAGCACTTTAATAGTGGTCAGTGTTGGACAGAAGCACTTTAATAGTGGTCAGTGTTGGACAGAAGCACTTTAATAGTGGTTAGGCAGGTCATTTAATAACAGTCAGTGTTGGACACATCATTTACTAGTGGTCACTAGTGGTCACTATTGGTAACAAGTAAACAACTAGAGGTAACTCTTGTTGAAACCTACATAAGATTTCTCCTCCCTGCCTGGGTCGTAGAAGTGGTTTGACCCTGTGCAGCCTGCGTGACACGGAGAGAAGTAGGTGATGCCGTTGATGCCGCAGATGGGCTGGATATGGTTGGGCGAGCAGTCGCAGTTCTGGTTGCACGTGGACGTCAGGTTGGCCTCGAATATTTTATGGCCAGAACTGGTGGGAGGGTAGACATTTTGTTATCCAAACAAATATTTTATTTAAAAAACAACATCATCAACATGTACAACAAAACATTTGTAAAATAAAAACAAAATTAGACTAGAAAAACTATTTTAACTTAAAACCTAACCACAGACTGGGAAAAGTAAAACCAAACTAAATAAAATGGCTATAAATATACAGCAAAGAATTTCTGTAATGCTGATTAAAATTATTTTTTAATAATTAAACTGCTAAAATTGTTTACTACATTTTTAAGTTATTTAATTTACATAATAAAATGAGGTCATTTATGACAAGCTGATAATTAAACTGAAAGCAATAAGGATGGTATTTGCCTGAACAAACCTGTTAAAATATGGAAAGTTAGCCCCAGCTATTTTAGGGTTGTCACAGCCCATGAAGAAGAAGAAAGAGAAGCCACATAGGGCTAGTGTGTTGAGGAGAAGTACAAACTGGATGGCACCTGACGAAATCAATACAATTTGTTATGTAATGGTGAAGTAAAACACAAAGAATTTTTAGTCAACAGTTGAAAAAGTGTTTTACTAAACAAAACAACTTTCAATCAACAATCCAAAAATATTTTACTACGCAAAATTTCTTTTAATCAAAGTTGAAAAAATGTTTAAATTACACAAACAAGTTTTTAATTAATGTTGAAAAATATTTTACCAAAGAAAACAGTTTTCAATCAGTAGTTGTACCAAAAAAAATGTTTTATTTACAAAATTATTTTTAATCAACTGTTGATAAGAAAATACAAACATCAAAAGAGGAAAGTAAACCAATTAATTTAATGTTTAGAATCTCGCATAAACACGGGTAAAGAAATACATTATTTTATCAAGGTTTTTTTTTAAACAGAATCATTGATATGGCCAAGGTTAAGGTCACATTTAAGATCATGTGTTGAAATAGCGTTGCTATTAACAAACAGCTTTAATCTGCTTAACACCATTTCAAGTGTCAATTATAATTTTTTGTATTTCCCACCAAATAAAAGGCTTAATTTTCTAATTAAAATATATTTTGGGATATATCAGCCCTAAAAGATGACATTAGGGGTATCAGGTGCTTATAAATATTAATTATATGTAACTTAACAACAACTAACAGAAGTCTAATAAATATATTCTAATCAATAATGTCTCGACCATCTGTGGCTAATGAATATATCTTATTGCATTCATTAAAACAACGGATAGTGTAAATTACGCACTACATGAGCATTCTGTTTCAACACTGGTAAGTAAAAAACTTTAACCACAACTTGTTATGTCAACACGTGTTCATGAAACAAACCTGTGTACCTTCCTATTCAACAATGGAACAGCTGATCCATCACAACACACAAAAAACATGGAAAACAAAACAAAAACCACTACATTACATTACAAGGACAAAAAAAATACCTTTTGGGGACAGTGCCAATCTCTTTAGAATATAACCACCTATGAGGATGCCAATGACTGCACCAGGAATGCCAATGCCACCTGAGACATGATTGATACAGGTGAGAAGGGAAAAAATATCCTAACAGCCAAAAATTTTGTTGTAAAAAAAACACATTTTCCATAAGATGATAATAAACAAACAAAATTATTGCAAGATTAACCAAATAAAACCTTAACTCCTTTGGTTTTAATTAATATTGTTGTTGCTTTTAGATAGCCCAATTCTTTTCTCCTTTAGTAAATGTCATAAAAGTTATTTAATGTTATTTCAATGTCCCAAGTAGACGATGTAGTTTTGCTATATGGAATAGTGGATTTGAATCCACTCTGGCTATAACACACCCCTATTTTTACATAGACAATTTCATGAACACTAAAAGAAAACTAGTAAATAAAGTTAAGCTTCTTTTTCAAGCATGGTAGTCTATGGGGCAAGTGATGTAGAGTTCAACTGTTTTGTGACCTCGGCATATGAAGAGATAGTGTGGTCTGCACTATGCCTTTTTTTCACCAACCTGAGTTAGGTACCTATCAGAGCTGGGTAGACTCAGGAACATATAATGACTTTAACCCTGATTTGAACTCGAGACGTTTTGAGTTAGCAGTCTAGCTCTCTAACGCAAAAGAAAACTAAACAAGATTAATTCAGGATTTCTAGACCTACATTTCATATATGTTGGTAAGTCTTTGAAGATTTTTCACTTAGATCCTTTGGTAAGTCAAACTATATAACAGAAACAATCAAAGACAGATATGTTTTTGTTCGGTAATACTAGACACTCAACAAAAGGATAATTTAAAACAATCCCTTAACAATAACCAACATGACATTTACACAGAAGAAAAAAAAATCTGAATGATCCAAGGGAAGATAATAATGAGCTATTCGATGTTTACCAAAGCAAAATAAAAACAACAAATGTCTGCTTTATTGCTGGAGTTGTCTGACCTTTGGGAGGTTCCCATCCTGCTGTGAGAAAAAGAATTCAAGTGACAAGACAGACAGGCAAAAGATTAGGCGCTGTGCAGGATCAATACAAACAGAATAGCTCAGACAAACATTGGAACAACAAAATAAAATCAGATCAGTTTATTAGATAGTGAACAGATCAACAACAAATGATGCTTTTCTTTCTGTGTATGTGATAGTTCTGTATTCGTGTTTTTTTTTAAAGGAAGTTTATGTACGTGTCTATGTGTATAAGATACAATGTTACCAACAGCAAAATAAAATCTAATTTAAAAACAAAAAATTCGCATGCCGGAAACAGGATACAAAACAATGTTTCTAACAACTTCTTTTTCTTCTTCGTTCTTAATTTTAGTGTTGGAAAGGATCCCCCTCCAACACAATTAAGGATACGCGTCAACTGGTTATGCGCCATTGAGGCCATAGACTCCAATTTCAGCCTGCTTTTCTTTTTGGGTTTGCTTCCATAGCCTTTATCCAACCAAGAACATACTACAAGGCAGCAGTTGTTTGATTTTGGAGTTGCCTCTTCTAGAAGAGTGGCTGCCCCCAGTTAACGAACCTCATCTACGTGAGGAATCGAACTCGAGACTTTTCGGTTTAGCAACCTTGAGCTTTACAGACTTGACCAAGCCGACCCCTTTTTCTAACAACAATTTCGGTTTCTCCAGGGTAAAATGATTAATTTAAAAATTATTATTGTAAATAAAATTTAGGCCTAAATGCAATTTTTTTTAATGTCACAGCTGTATATTTCTTTTAAATTATTTACAAAGAGAAAAATATGATTTCCTTACAAAAAGGGGAAGTTACATCTCTGTATAAACCAGTATTCCGATTTACAAAACACATTTTTTCCTGTTTAAGTAAGTACAGTATTAGAGTTAATAAAACTTACCTGTGAAAAGATTAGCCAGTGATGTTGAAGTACCAAACTGAGATTCCAGATACTTGGGTAGAAAGACCACAAACCCACTGACTATACAGATCTCACAGCAAATGGCTGGCAACATGACGGCATACACTGGGTTCTTCAACAGATGCAGCACAGCTTTGGGGATTTCTGGGGACATTAAAAGGTTTAAATCATATTACAATCAAAGGTCACAATTATATTACAATCAAAGGTCTCAATCATATCTGTCAATAACAACACAGTTTATATGTTACATAGCCTTGGGGATTTCTGGGAACATTAAAAGGTCTCAATAATATAAAGGTCTCAATCATATTACAATCAAAGGTCACAATTATATTACAATCAAAGGTCTCAATCATATCTGTCAATAACAACACAGTTTATATGTTACATAGCCTTGGGGATTTCTGGGAACATTAAAAGGTCTCAATAATATAAAGGTCTCAATCATATTACAATCAAAGGTCATAATTAGATTACAATCAAAGGTCTCAGTCACATCTGTCAACAACAACACCGTTTCTGTGGACCATCAAAGGTTTACATAGTCTAATGTGTAAAGCTCATGGTTACTAAACTAAGAAGTCCCAAGCTCAAAACCCCATTCAGATGAGGCTAGATAGATGGGGACAGCAGCCCATCTAGGAGAGACATTTACAAAATTGAACAACTGCTGCTTTGTAGTTTGTTCTTGGATAGATAAAGGCTATAAAAGCAAATCCTTTAAAAGAAAAACAGGTTGAAATTGGACTCAATGGCCTATATAGCACATAACATGTGATACCTAATTGTGGTGTTGAAAATTTGTCCAACATTACAATTAAGAACAAAGAACAAGAAGTGGACAATGAACAGTTTCAATTACATTAACCCCTAACATTTACTGACAACTTCAGTCATACATAATTAATTAAGAGCTTATGAATGTACTTCATGAATAGACACATCACTTAAACCATTGAGTTTGTCATATATTCAATTTCAATTGCAGACTAGTGAAGATGCTTCAGCACACTTTTTCTAAGACCATTTTTAAACAATAGCAATTGATTTTCTTTCAAATTACAGACAAAAACTATTGTCAAAACAAGATAGTTGTCTGGTTAACTTTCAGAGAGATAAATATTTGAGCTGCCAGAACATCTTTACACAAAATATATTTATTGGTCAAAGTGGGTTAAGTGGTAGAGCAGGTACCTTCTGGCCTTAGAATATCCAGTTTGGTTCCAGGCAAAAAATTAATGGGGAAGTAAATGAAGCTGGTCAGTATCTGTTCACACAATTAATTCCCTAGGTAATTGAGTTTGATATAGTATTTGCTTTATTGTTTGTATAAAAAAAAAATAGAATAAATGCATTTCTTAGTTTAAACAAAACTCATTGTGTTTTTCAATTAATCTTATTAAAACATTTAACTCTTTCTACAGATATCACATTACCCCTTCATATGCCGACGTCACAGAAACAAGTGAATTCTTCTTCACTTGCCCCGTATACCGTCACGTTTGAAAGGGAACTTTTACTTACTTTTTTTACAGATATAAGACAAGCTTTATATGACATGATCTATAAGAAAAGATTCTTTTGACAAGATCTTAACTCAACTCCAAAATCCATTTAACAAGTCTCTACTCTAAGACAAGACCCAATCAGCAGATATTTTTTATAAAATCAATTTTAAAAAAAATTTTATGACAAGTTTTTATGTCACAACAAAATACAATAGCAATAAAACATGTGACCTTCAGGTGATAAAATGAGGTAAAGACGTAACCACAGCAGTTGAAAGGGTGTCAAGGACACTTGAGCTTCACAAGGACACCATACAAATTTAATGGGATTCTTTCACAGAGGAAACCAGGCATAATGTAAGGACAGAGACAAGGGCTATGTGTCAACACCATGAAACAAGGCTAATGTATACAGGAGATAAGGTCAGGGGTTTTATTTACTAAACTTATCAGCTACAACACTCTGTAAGTTTTACTTCTTGATATTACACTCAACAGTCACAGTAACTATCACACATAGTGGAGGGGCTGGGGGAACCAGCAAAATAACAACAAGGATTCTTTTAAAGAAGGAGAAGAAGAAAAAAAAAGGGTGGCATTTTGAAGACTTGCATCATACTCAAAAAACCATGATGCTGCCCTTTGTGCATGTATGAATGTGTATATGTGTGTGTGTGCAGGTATACAAGTATGTATGTGTATATGTGTGTGTGTGTGCAGGTATACAAGTATGTATGTGTGTATGTGTGTATGTGTGAATGTATATATGTATGTGTTTATGTATAGATGTATGTGGGTGAAAGCATCTTGTATGTGTGAATCCATTTATGTATGAGTGTATGTATTTAAGTGTGTATGTATATATGTATGTGTGTATGTATATAAGTATGTGTGCATGTATATAAGTCTGTATGTATATAAATGTGTAAGTATGTGTATATAAATAAGTATTTGTATATTTTATATATATATATATATATATATATATATATATATATATATATATATATATATATATGTGTGTGTGTGTGTGTGTGTGTATTTATATATATATGTATATTTATATATATGTATGTCAGCATACACACAAGTACTGTATATGGTTTATTTTATAATGCACTTCAGAAATCTACCCATTACTTTGATGCAATAGTTAAGTTGAACCTAGTTTTCCCCTCCCACTTAAAACAGTCCACAACATGACTGGGAATAACAAGACCACCAAAACAGGACATCTGTCAGCTCATGCATAATTTATCATCTCATTAATTCTTCATTTCTCTGGTTTACTGCCATCTAAAACCAGATTGTGTGAATTAAGTGAGTATGCTAATCAGGAATAATGTGAGATTTGTTTACAGTAAGGTGATATGAAGAACATTTTTTTACCTTGACTAAATGTAGGTGAGGCTAAGATGTTTTTAAGTAGGATTGACAAATTGAACGTGGGGGTCAGTATAATTGTTGTGTGGGTCTAAATAATTCATTAACTAGTATAAAAAAAAAATTGTGGGTCAGAATCTTTACGTAAGTGGGTCAGAATCTTCAACATAAATAGGTCAGAATCTTCAACATAAATGGGTCAGAATCTTCAACATAAATGGGTCAGAATCTTCAACTTTGTGGGTCTGAATCTTCAACTTAAATGGGTCAGAATCTTCAACTTAAATGGGTCAGAATCTTCAACCTAGTGGGCCAGAATCTTCCACTTAGTGGGTCAGAATCTTCAACTAAGCGGATCAGAATATGTGACACTTAATCAGGTCAGTACCAAATGTACAGAGGGGAAAACAAAAACTAATTTATTTATTTGTGTGAGTCCATTAGGTGTGCAGCTTGTTAAGTACTGATGTGGAAATGTATCTTTGAATACATCTGGTGATAATGGTAAACATTGGTTTATAGTACTGTTGTGGAAATGTATCTTTGAATACATCTGGTGATAATGGTAAACATTGGTTTATAGTACTGTTGTGGAAATGTATCTTTGAATACATCTGGTGATAATGGTAAACATTGGTTTATAGTACTGTTGTGGAAATGTATCTTTGAATACATCTGGTGATAATGGTAAACATTGGTTTATAGTACTGTTGTGGAAATGTATCTATGAATACATCTGGTGATAATGGTAAACATTGGTTTATAGTACTGTTGTGGAAATGTATCTTTGAACACATCTGGTGATAATGGTAAACATTGGTTTATTTACTAACAGCCTGGCACACACCCAGAGCTTAACAATCAAAGAAATAGAGATCCATCATCTGCTAATACCCTCGCCATTATTTTATTCTTTTTACGCTACTTAAAAATATAAATGGAAGTAATTAAATCCAATTAATGAATCACATTTGGATAGAGCTTTTGATGAGATAAGCAAGCTGCTATGGGTTTTTGTTTTAGAGATGAAATTAACAGCTGAAGTGATTACTGCAGTAAATTAGATACGATTTAGTCCAGCACCTAATACAATAAATTGTGAGACATAGTGGACTCATAGCTGGGTACAGAGAACTAGTGATGCTGTGGAACAATGCAATAACCATTAACCCTTTAGTGTGGTCCTGGTAAATACAGCAAAGTTTGGCCAGCAGCCTGGTTTGACTGGTGAGAAAAGGGTTAATGTGGGCTGTAGTGCTGGGATGACAGGGCTTGAGGGAAGCCGATGGGTTCATTGAGTGGGTGGATTGTTTTCTTTCTGTTTGGTCATGTATGATTAATGGGGGTTAATCAATCCCACTGGGAGGCACTGATTTACAGAGCGGGAAATGATAATGGAAGTGGGGGTGGGTTTGTGGAAGGTATTGGAAGAGGAAGTTGGAACATAGAAAATAGATGGGGAGATGGGGGTGGGAACATAGGAGAGGTTGGAAGATGGGGTGGGAACATACAGGAGAGGTTGGGAGATGGTGGTGGGAACATAAGAGATGTTGGGAAATGGGGTGGGAACATACAGGAGAGGTTGGAAGATGGGGTGGGAACATATGCGAGGTTGGGAAATGGGGTGGGAACATACAGGAGAGGTTGGAAGATAGGGTGGGAACATAGGAGAGGTTGGGAAATGGGGTGGGAACATAAGAGAGGTTGGGAAATGGGGTGGGAACATAAGAGAGGTTGGGAGATGGAGGTGGGGACATAGGAGAGGTTGGGAAATGGGGTGGGAACATAGGCGAGGCTGGGAAATGGGGTGGGAACATAAGAGAGGTTGGGTTGAGTCGGTGTATGAAAGCTCAAAATGGATATATGGCATGGGTCGGTGTTTAAAGACACTACATAGACACCTGTGTCAGTGTTTAATTAAACACATTACTCATTACATAGATACATGGATCAGTGTTTAAACTTTAAACACATCACATAGTCACATGGGTCAGTGTTTAAAGACACAACTTAGACACAAAAGTCGGTGTTGATAACATACAATAGTACATGTAATGAGTAACTTGGTCTAAAACTGCTCCACATAAAAGTGTGTATTCAGTGTATATAAAGGTGGCATAAAAGGTAGAGAGTCAGTAGAAACTTTCAGTCGAGACTAGCTACTCACGTTAAGCTAGCTATCTGCAGATAAAATGAAATAAAACCAGCCTTCTTCTTTCTATCACATTTTGCAGGAGGGTTTGGGGTGGA